AAGTGGTAAAGCACTCGCCTTGAGCTGAAGAGGTTAGGGATATTACCTAGGCCCAGAGTTCAAGCCCCACGACTGACAAAAAAAAGTTTTTTTAAAAATATATATTCAGGTACACTTTGCTTATCAGATATATGGTTTACAAAAATTAATCACTGGGTTTTCAGTTTCTTTTTTGTTATTATTGTTTTGTTTTGAGGAGTTGAGGGTTTTTTTTAACTTTCTTGATGTAAATGTTGGTGATAACCAGCATATCTGTGTTTTATTTTGCTATTTGTGCTTCTGCTGTTGTATATAAAAACTATAAGTAAGTTCACAAGGAGGAGCTTCTATTTTACTTCTAACTGTTTTATAGTTAATGGAACTTTTACATTTCAATCTTGGATCCATTTTATGCTGACTTTGGTATATTATAAAAAGCAACAGTCCAGTTCATTGTATCATTTATTGTAAAGACTTTTCTTCCTCCCAGTAAATTCTCTAGGTATGGAAAGCTAATATCTTTTTTTTTCTTTTTCTGTTTTATTTTCAATTTATTTTTTAACATTTTTATAAGTTTTTTAATAAGTTTTTTATTGTGAAAATACTGTACAGAGGGGTTACAGTTACATGAACAAGGTAATGAGTACATTTCTTATCAAGAATTGTTGCCTCCTCCTTTGTTTTTACCCTATCATCCCTTCCTTCCCACTTCCACAACTATACTTGCCCAACCCCACCCCCCCCAAATTGTAAAGTTTGCTTTTCAACATAGTGTCTTGTACATCTCATTGTTGCAATGAGTAAACTGCCTCTCTCTAATAGTTTGGTCCTTTTGCTGTATATTTCCCTTTGTTATGTTATTTTTTTGTTACAGTCAACTTTCTAAAGCTATAGCAAGATACTTGAGACTGAGTAACTGATAAAGAACAAAAGTTCTGTTTCCTGTATGTCTGAAGGCTGGGGGATCCAGTATCAAGGTTCTAGCCTCTGGTGAAGACCTTCTTGCTGTGTCATTCCATAGCTGAAGGTAGAAGGAAAAAGCACAGGAGAGAATGAGAGCATAGGCAGGAGCTGATCTCAACTTTTTTTTTGGGGGGGTGGTCTGGTCCTGGGGCCTGAACTCTGGGCCTGGGCACTGTCCCTCAGCTCTTCAGCTCAAGGCTAGCGCTCTACCACTTGAGCCACAGCGCCACTTCCGGCTTTTTTCTTTTTGCTTATGTGGTGCTGAGGAATCGAACCCAGGGCCTCAGGCATGCAAGGCAAGCACTCTACCACTGAGCCAACTTTCCAGCCCCCTGATCTCTACTTTTTAGCAAGCACACTTCAAGTTATCAGCATACTATCAAGGCACTGATGAGATCAGAACTCTCATTATCTTCCTCCATCTCATTAAGCTCCACTTCCCACGCTGCTAAATTGGGAATTAGGTATCCAGCAGCACATGAACTTTGGGGACATGTTCCAACCATAGAAACTATCATTCACCTGTGTGAATGGTACTTTAAGTTTCTGAAATTTGAATCTAGGACTTTGGACCAATCAAGTTCTAAGCCTGTCTACATTCTAACAGTAGAGTATGTTTATGTCACTTGGAGTTTCTCCAATTATTCAACAGCACAAACTATCTCCAATGAATCAGCAAAATGCTAGAGTGAAAGTGTGTTTCCCAAGCTATAGAACACCTGCCGTGAATAAGAACAGGGAATGAGAGGATGTTATCATCACAGACACACACACACACACACACACACACACACACACACACACACCTCACACACATAATTATAATAATAAAACTTGAGAAAATGTAGTGAATACTGATTAACATTTTAGGTATAGTTTTGTACAAAGTTAGAACTAGTTTTTATTCCCTATCAGAGCATGACAGTATTTGATTTATAAGTAATCACTTCTTATTCCTAATGACCCCTCAAGTAAGGTTCAGTTTTGGTTACTTACAAATAATAGTTATCTGAACAAAGTTCCAGAAATGGCCAGTTTTCTACAGGACAGCATGTTTATATATGACCCTCCTCACGATGTATCAGCAACACTGAGATCATGGGTCATTCATACAGGAAATGAAACATTTTTTTCATACAGAAAAGACCATATGCATATGATATAGCCATATATTTTCCCTCAAGTTATACTACAGCTCTATCTCTCATTCCTGACTGCTAGAAATCACACCCATTTTTATCATTTCAGAAGCTTGATTGGAGTTAGATAGTGCAGTCATCTGCACCTGCTTGGTTTTAGAGCTTTCAGATCTTCTCACCTTCCATTGTATGAGAAGTACACTCTGCCAACCCCTGGCAGGGAATCCTAGCAACATGACCCTGTCACAGAATCTGCAGAAGTCAGTTGTCAGCAAGATCATTTAAAATTGTTCAGTGCAGCTCCTATGACTACACTACTGATAAATTTACAAGGAAGAGTGCTACTCAAGGACAGCTTCTCCAAGAACTACTTAAAAAAAATCACTATCCACAAAATACAGCCTGAATACCTTACAAGTGCGAAGTGTTAGGCCAGAGTATGTTTTACAAAAGCACCAACTAGAAGCTAGCCAGCAGTGCAACAAGATCGCCAACATCTAAGCCCAATAGATAAGCAGCAACAAGTTCAGGCATTGAAGAGTCATCCCAAAGTCTAGGATGTCCAACATTGTTGAAGTAGATTTTGAATAGAAGTTGGGTCTATAGAAATGAAGACACTTATTTCCAGGTAAGAATGCTTATCACATAATAGATGGAGGAACTGAAAGACTGATTTGATCACAGTAAAGCATCTCATTGAGAATGGGTGCATGGAGACAAGCTATTAGATGTGGGTCTGAAATGTCATGCTAAGGAAATGTTTTCTTTGCCTCCTAAGAAGCCTTCTCCACAAATGGTGTTAAGAGTCTCCATATGCCCACTTCTATAATTAGGTCATTTTCTCTTTAATTTCTTCACAAAATTTATGAACTTTTCTGCACAGGCTGGCTAGGAACTGCAATATTTCGTTTATTTATTTATTTATTTTTTATTGTGAAAATATCGTACAGAGGGGTTACAATTACATGGGCAAGGTAATGAGTACATTTCTTATCAAGCATCGTTGCCTCCTCCTTTGTTTCCCCTTCCCATCCCTTCCAATCCCTTCCCATCTTCCCCCCACCCCCTCCCCCAACCCCCTCCCGCTATTCCCCCATCCCTGCCCAGCCAAAGTTGTAAAGTTCCTTAAGGAACTGCAATATTTCATGTCTCTGCTTCCTGAGCAGTTAGACTTACAAGCATGAACTACCTGTTCCTAGAACCATTTGCCATTATTTTTAAAGCTTCAAAAAATTCTTTGCTGTACTTAGCCTCTTAATTTGTTTTAGACACATGTTCATCAAGTCTTGCAAAGCCTGTTTCATTCCAGGAGCACTTGGGTCTTAGAAGGAATTAAATAGCCAGTAATGGTAGTATAATAAATTCACTTTTTTACTTGGCCATACTTTTAAATCATGATCATCATCTTTGAGTACTCCTCTAACCTGAGATATCCCATGAGCACTAGGAATACATTTCCTTTGTTCTAATCCCAGCCTCTGAATGAAAGCCATGTATAGTGGGCTCCTCATAAATATGTATTTACCGCCTGAGTGGCTATAAATGTAGGACAGTGTTCTGATTAGCAAATGCTACCTGCAGGAAGCAGAGGAAATAGCATAAACAGAGACAAGATGCTATTAGCAGATTTTATTTCATCTTTTTTTCCTGAGGCCTGACTTATAATCAACTCTCTCAGATCAAACCTCTCCAACATCTTTCCCTTCAGGATATGAAAGAAGCACAAATAAAAGGTCTCCATGGTAGCGCTCCTCCACTGGGTGCCAAGAGGAAGAGCTCAAGATGAAGGGAGAAGCTAATATCCTATAATCTAGTTTATTCCTTTCTTGGAAGTTCAGCAGCTCAACAGGATCTACACAAAACCTCACATCCCATCTCAAATGTGCAAATGAGTTACAACCACAATACCGTCCTTGTGCTGTCTACAACTTGTTAGCAGAGATCTAGTTATATAAAACAAAAGGAAAGCAGGCTGCAATAGTCCCTGAGACAGGGCACACTGCATGTACCATCTTTATGGATTTTCATACCAACACTCCACACTCCCTTCAAGAATAAAGCGACTGCAGCCCACAGAAGTCCGTTGGTGAACTACTTGGGCCAATCAGCAGAGAATTTTATTGCAGTCTGAGAGCTTTATCAGGCTGCAGGTTACGCACAAGCAGAACGCACCAGCCCCACGCGGGCAGGCCCAGAGGCACGGCAAGTCCCCCCGGAAGGGAAGGGCATCAGCTCTGGAGACCTCCATCTCCCCGCCTGTTGCTGCTGGCAGCAACCAGGGGGACAAATGCTGGCTCTGGCTTTGAGTCAAGCCGGGCGTTCAAAGGCTAGAACTGCAGGCCGACGGCGAATCAACAGTCCCCTTCCCTTACTCCAGCTAGGACCTAACCCTAAGCCTTGCAGACCCCTACGCCACCACCTTCCCACTCAGCTCCAACACCCCTTTACAGAAGGCAGGCTTCGCCACTGCAGGGGCGGGGGTGGTGCGAGGGGACTCGTGAGCCTACCACCGCCGGCGCACCTCGTTCCCTCTGCTCAACATTTTCAGGGTCGTAGTAGACAGGAAGTGGGCGAAGAGGATCGCTCCCTGAAAGACCGGGAACGAGGGCACCCAGGGCCCAGGAAACTGGAAGCGATTTCTCCCCCCACCTCTCTCTGATGAGTGGTACAGTCCGCAATGGGGCGGGGCCAGGAGCCTCTCCGGGGACTCTTCCCGCCCCTCTCCCGCCGGCCACGCCCCTCGCGGCCCTGGGAGCGAGTGAGCGCGCGCCCCGCAGCCCCCGCCCCCGTGCCCGCGCCCGGCCCCGCCCCTCCGGGCCGCCCCCTCGGAGGCTGCGGGGAGAAGCCGGCCCGGCGCTGCGGACGCTACCGCCTTCGCCCCGGCCGCCGCTTCCTCCTCCTCCCTGCTGCTCGGGTGCTGCTGCCCCGGGTGGGCGGCGGGCGGGGCCCGGGCGGCGGCTGAGCCCTCGGTGCGGGGCGCAGCCAGGTCCCCGAGCCCGCGCGGCGGCGTCGGCGGCGTGACAGGTGCAGAGTCCCCGCCGAGAGCCCCCAGCGGCCGCGGCGGCGATGCCCACCATGCGGAGGACCGTGTCGGAGATCCGCTCCCGCGCGGAGGGTGAGAGGCCGCCCGCGGGGCTCGGGGGGCCGGGCGCGCGCGCGCGCGCGGGGGGCGACGCCGACCCCGCCGGGGTGGGGGGCGCGGCGCGGCGCGTGTCCGTGTCTGCGGCTGGGCTGTGTTCATCCGGGAAGGGGCCATCTCGTCCCTCCGCCTCCTTCCTGGCAGCCGCACTGCCGGGTCTCCGGCAGACCCTCTTCCCCTGCACTGCCGTCTCTGCAACTCGCAAAGCCTTTCGGGGCTCCAGAAGCCCCCCCCCCAAATTCGTGTCCTGGGTGGGAGCCCCGAGACTCCCTGCAGCGTGATCCGTGCGATCCGTACCCCAATGCATATCCCAGGTCCCTCTCCCTCCCTCTCTCCCTGCCCACCAGCGCGCAAACCGGGCTTCCACGCAGCTGCCCCAGCCCGCCCCCTCGCCCCCTGCCCAGCCCGGCTCCCCCTCCTCCCCCCAACAAATCCCAGCCCGAGAGAAACAGGTTTGCCTTTCCCAGAAGGCAAGATCCTTTGATCCACGGTCTCCAGGCTGTCTGGGCGCCAGGAGCATTTCGTTGGGGTTGGGTGCAGCTCTGCCTCCCGCAGTGAGCGCAGCCTCTCCAGGCACTGGGCCGGTTTCGTTTCGCATTTCCTTTCGCCCGGAACCTACACTTTGCCCCGCTGAGCTGACTTGAGGGAGGTGGAAGCTATTTTCTTTGCTCCACCCAGGGCCAGCTGTTGAATGACTGACTGACTACACTTGTAGGCACTGAGCAACAGATGCCCCAAGGTGTCGATCAGGGAGCTTTGGGGAAGGCTGAATACTTCATCCTGGCCCTGCAGCCTTGGGCATCCTGTCTGGTGTGTGGTGTGTGGTGTGTGGCAGACCCTCAATGAATATCTCTTGATTTTTGCTCATGGCCAGAGCCAAGATCATAGAGCTCTGTTTTCTTTCTTTTGGTTTTGCGATCCCATAAATCTTGTCCTTGAACCTTGCCAAGGGTAGGGTGACATGTTTTTGATAAGTAGTCTGTCTTGTCATCAGTGATTCGCACTCTGCCATCCCATCCCCACCCATCCTAAAATGGGAGACAGATGACGCAGTGGTTAAAATTTTTTTTAAAATACATCGAAGTTAGGAGAATAAGATAATGACTATATTAAGACAGGCCATTTTAGTTTTCCTCCATATTATCCACCTGTCAACATCAGGTCTCTGAATTCTGAAGTCTAGGATTTTCTCATTGCAACATGAAAGTGTTATACTGTTTTGGGGAAAAGGCTATACACAAGAGTCAAATTGACCAGGGTTGGCATTTAACACATATTTCTATCTTTGCAAAATACTGAAAATAGAAAATTACAAAGAACAGTACAGGAATTTTGCATATACAGTTGAATAGATAACATTAAAAATACACAATAAAATTAGACTTTTTTCTTGTATTCTGAGTGAAATGAATGAATTTTGATCATCACCATTTGAGCCATGGGAGCAAAGAAAATCAATAGTTGGTGATGTAGAAAATATTATTGTAATAGGATGCTGTTACTTAGTGCTTTCAAGAAACAGTGATTAATGGATCATATGTTGTGGGGAATGGAGACAAGAGAAAAAAACCTAGAAGCAATTCACATGTACTGTATGAGTGGATTTGAAATATTCGAAGGCTGCAGTCTCATTTTTGACTGGAATATATGATTTTTTTCAAAGCACTTTTACAACAATTACCTCATGGGATCTCACATGACTCCTTGAAGTTGGTGAAGATGGCAGAGAAATATCTGATAGTTGAGAAACTGGTTTTCGATGGTTCAGTAATTCACCCAAGGTCAGATGGCCTGTTTGGAGTAAGAACTCTGGGAAAACCAGGGTTGGTTCTTACTTAATTTCTGTGTTGCCTGTATGTCCAACACAGTGTTGTTGGGCATGGTGGTGCTTGACAAATGACCCTTCCTTCCTATATTGCTTGTTTTCAGTTTATGATGTGTTCAGCATTGTGCTTGGGGCTGTGATGGAAACAAAATAAGTAATAACTCTGTGGGCTGGTGATGTGGCTCATTGCCTTTGCTTCCCACATGTTTGTTTGCTAAGGAATATTCTCCTTTGACAGGACCTGCTTCTTTGAAGGCCTTATATTGAACTGCAGTCTCCTAGACCTCAGTTAAGTGGATCAGGATGGGTTCCTGACCCAAAGCCAGTCCATAGGAGACTCATTCATATGTAACCTTGTGGCTTGGCAAAAAAAAAAAATTCTCTGTGCTATTATATCTCTGTTAGGAAGCATGAAGATTAGAGACAGGATGGAAATGGAAACAAAAAGGGGTCAGAGGTGAATGGGCTGGTAATATATTGAGAATGAATGGCTGCAATAGGTCATGTAAATAATGCTGATGTAAGCAAGCAAAAACTGAGTATAAAGATATCCAAGTGAATGAAACAGCTGGACATGAACAGATGCTGAGAGTGGTAGTCAGACCAGGGTCTTCTGACTTCTGTTACAAAGAAACTTTAAAAATAATCTTTTTTTTTTCCTCCTTGAAGTGACGAATGAGTTTCAGTTTCTTAAATCCAGATTGGTTAGATGCATGAATGTCTTGGTTGTAAATTGTTTACCACCAAGTTGGAGAGAAAGGACTTAAATGAAATAAGAAATAAAATAATCTCGCTATTGTTAATTAAACATTGTGCTTGCTATGAATGACAGAGGTTCTGTGGGAGACCAGAACTTTAGTGCCCACATAATAGGGTATGATTTGATGAGTCCTCTTGCAGTTATTTTTCAAACTTTAAGGTCCATAAGAATTACTTGAGGACTTTGAGTAAGGCTGGAGTAGATAATCTCTCACACATTGACAGATGATGCTGGATGCTGGTCTGTTGATAACAGACTCTAAAGGATACTCTTGTCTAATTCAGTAGTCTGGCTTACATCAGAGTTCTTAAGGAAGTTGGCTAGAAGCAGAGGGAAAACCTAGAAGGCGGAGAATATCAGTTTGGGCAGGTAGAGATGGCTAGATTACAGAGAACTTTTGGATGCCAAAATGAGTCATTTGGAGTTGAATATTCGAACAAGATCTTAGAGTTCATTGAATTTCTTACTTGAGTTTCTCAATGCATCAAAAGTGACAGGGCTGGGTTTGGAGCCATTGTCAAGAAGGAACTGCTGAAAAGAACTCAGATTAATTCAAGAAGTGTGTGGAATGGTGTAGAAGAACAGGCACCATAGATAGTTTGGACTAAAGGAGAGAGTGAGACTGGGCAGGCAGGAGTCCCAGAATTCTGGTGCTGATGAGGCATATTTTGAGGACTTCTCCTTTATAGTCTTCAACAGATCTGGGTGAGAAAGTCTGCTAATAAAGGTGAGGAAATTGAGGAGAGTTAATACAATAAGAGATGATCCTTTAAATTGTGAAATTATTGTGGGAAATCCAAATGAACATATCTCAGAGGTACTTAGAAATTATCCATGTGACTGGGTGCTGCCTGTAATCCCCAGCTACTCAGGAGGCTGACATCTGAGATCTGAGGATCGGTTCAAAGCTAGTCCTGGTAGGAAAGTCCATGAGACTCTTATCTCCATTTAACTACCAAAAAGCCAGACGTGGAGCCAGGCTCATGTGGTTAACTCACTAGCTTTGAGCAAAAATGCCCAGAGAACTAGCACAAAAAAGAAAGAAAAAGGGAGAAAGGAAAAAAAAAAGAGAAAGAAAAGTTGTTTCACATTATGGGAGAAATCTAAACTGGGAACCTTAAAGTCAGGGATAATACTTGAAACTCTTAGAGATAAATTTGTCTGAGAGGCAGTGAAGTTAAAACAAGGCTTCAACTTGGGGCATGGCTCAAGTGGTAGAGTGCCCACCTAGCAATCATAAGACCCTGTGTTCAAACCCTACTACTAAGACAAAGCAAAACAACTCCAGAAAGCTAGATGTTTTTGATCTCTTTTTTCATACCCCAGCTAAATCAAGTAGGAGTGAGTACAATGTTAATAATGTAGAAAGAATTGTTTTTCCCACTTCTACACTAGTATCAGCTGTCAGCTACTCCTGCTACACAGAGCCGTCAGGAATAATGGCCCATTATTGCCCTTTGGCTTTACTGTCCTGAGTGGATGACCCATAAAGTTACAATGTGGTTGATAGATGCCAGCTATCTATATCAGATTTCCAGGCAGGAAAAAATGGAAGGGTGAAAGACAAAAGGATTTTTTCCTGAAAGTGCCACGTAAGGCAGGATAGACTCCTATCTGGGGAGAAGCCGGGAAATGGAGTTTTCCAGCTGAACATATTACTTAGTGAATATACAAAAGAAAGAAGGGAAACAATTAATAGGTAAATAACAGCCCCAATCATAACCAGGTACTCATATTTCCAAAAATTCTTGAATAAAATAAGTATTTTAAAGTTCATTCTTTAAAAACTATTTTTGTTGTTGTTGTTTGGTTGTTTTCTTTTTAAACTGTATTTTTTTATCTTTTCTTTTTTTTTTTTTGGTACTGGGGATTGAACCCAGGATATTGCACTTGCTAGGCAAGCACTTTGCCACTGAGCTACATCCCAGCCCTTATTCTTTATAAACTAGTAAGCATTAAATTGTCCAAAATGAAAATGCACTTTAAAAAGTCCACCATGGTTTGTGTTTTCCTCTGCTGAATATTCTGATGTCAGAATGTAACAGTATTCAAGGTTGTTTGAAACATGTTAACTGAGAAATTTAGAACTTGTTATGAGGAACCAAATGCCAACTTAAAATGTTTACAAGTTACAATAAAATAAATTAAAATAAAAAATAAAAAATGTTTACAAGTATGTATCATACTATATTTACTTAAAAGGAAACAAAGGGAGCAGGAAAAGTAATTTCTTGTTAAAGGAAAACAAAAATTAGGAGGTGATTTTAGTTGCCCAGACCAAAGATAATTAAGGACTTTCATTTGACAAGCATGTATTGTGCACCTGCTGTGACCAGCTAACTAGGGGTGAGACCCCAGTGCTGCCATTGAAGATGAGTTCATGGTTTATAA